TAGCGTCCAGAAAAGTCTATTTTGATTTTTTTTGAAGCTTAGAGCGGAAGACATGGTTCACAGTGCGCTTTTCCACGGTAAACTTATGCTTTAAAAACAAAATTTGGTGCTCCAGTTGCCTCATTCGGATTTGTACGATTCGATAATGCGATGTAATGGATGAACCTATTTTCAAACTTCTAGGTTTAGGTGGTCCTCACATCCCGACGCGACCGCTCTTACAAGTTTACACAGAGGTAGAACAAATGAATTCTGTTCTCTTCCTGAGTGTGGAATCCGTAAGGAGTCTAAGAAGGGGGAATTCGAAGTTGGCCCTCACTAACGCCGTAATGAAGATGTCACCCCGACTGGTGGTGGAACGTTTGTAACGTAATTATCCAGCTCAGCGAACAAGCCAATCTGAAATACCAATAGAAGCAGGCCAAACAGAGTTGATTTTTACCCCACTCAGAGCTACATAAGGTTGCTTTAAAAACAGGACACACTCAGGAGCAACCCTGCAGGAAGAAAGTGCTGAAGACAAACTTCTACACGTTTAAGAAACCTTGTTCTGCGAGAATGTTCAACTCTGTTTTGGGTAAATGCAGCTGAATCTCTCGTTTGTGGTGTTTCCAGGCTGCACCAAGCCGCTTCGTGTTTCAGTCGCTACGATATTCGAGATATTGCGATAATTTGTATTCGTAATGCACTACTCACAAGGTTGCTGAAAATTCGTTGACGGCCCACGACCGGTTTCACCCTTCTTGGGGTTCATCAGATAGGCGCAGTCCTTGAGATTCCGTCAACCTTATGTTCCACTTGAAACCAAATTACCGGGAAACGTCACAAACGAAAGGTAGTCTTTCGCAAAACCAAATTAGTTTGCAAATGAGTGTACTTCGACAATTATTTCAACTTTATAAACCATACCGAAGGACTGACCTGCAAGCATTGAAAACGGGGTACACCTAAGGGGGGCATGTAAGTTTAGCTGATCGTCGGGCAAGCAGATTGGGCAATATTTCTGATCGCGTCTGAGAACGACTCAAGCGCGAGATATGTGCCTCAAAAAGCTAGCTGTGGATGTCTCTTCAGAGCTCTAAAGTTCACTACAAGCCTCAAAGATCTATTACTGGTTACTTCTTGTAGTGTCTCCAACCAGGCACAGTGAGGATCACGCGGTCCCCATCCTGGAAGGCGAGTAGCACCGACAGCACCCAAGCGTTTCGTGATCTCCTTCATACTCCTCTGCCAAGTCAAGGGTTGGTCACCTCTCTGTTTACGCCACTCTGAGTTGGGCATGGAAAACAGCGCTCTCTTCGGTAAACGATGGTTCGGCATATGCAACACATGTCCCAACTAGCGCAGTTTCTGGTGCTTGCTAAGTAGAAGTACCCATTGCACAACCGAAAACGCTGACACTTCCTAAGTGGAAGTACCCATTGCACAACGGAAAACGCGCTTTCTAACTGCCTCGTTACAGATTCGCCGACACCAACGCGCACGAGCTATGGTTCTGAGACAACGATTGTTAACCAACTGAAGACGTCTCATTTTCGCTGCTCAAATAGGCCAAGTCTCACATTCATACAACAAAACAGCCCGTACTGTAGCTTGATACACACGTTCCTTGAGATTCAGGGATAAACCACTCTGACGCCGTTGGTGTCTCAAGTTAGCAAACGCAGCCTTGCAGATTCGTGCAGTTACTGAACACGCCACTTACAATCCAGGGGAGGTCACGATCACCAACTCACCACCAACTTTTCGGGAAAACACTGAAGAAACATCTACATCACCTAAATAACTTCTTGCTTGTTTGTAGCCCTAAGTGTTTAGGTGTAAGTGTCTCTTGAAGGCTTGCGACATACAGGAACAGGTCCCTTCCACCTGTCTGCTCATATACACGAAATCTGCTGTATATGCAGGTTTTGCTGCGGCCAAAAACTACCCCGGTGTTTGACTTTGGTCTGTTCCTATCCCTTCATACACAGGACACGTGAAACTGTTTCAGCCGTGTCTTCATTCACCTTCATTCTAACCTGTCTGCATTTGATATTTTTGACAGTAATATCTTTTTACAAATGGTGAACACCGACGACTTTGATGTCATTCCAGATTGCCTCTTCTTACATTGTAGCTTAGTTAATTTTTTAAAATAGATGAGGCTGAATCCATGTGTTTCAGTAACAAGTGGCTGAAAATTGAACAATACGCATGTCTATACTACGTAAAGCTCACGGTGTTAACAATGGAGTCACCATGACAACAACGTAGGGACAGACCTAAAACTGTCGTCTCGAGTAGACACAAGACGACCTTGCATCATGCAGATGATCGTATGGGCAACACCCGTCTATTGGCTTCCATGACACACCCAAATAGGTTTGCCCCTTTAATAAGCAGTTCCTGTGGCGCTTTGTCAAAGTGGTTCTATTTGCTACTTACCTGTTTGATCAAACCCCCTAGTTTCATTTATTTGCAACCGTTTGAAACACAGTACTCCTAGAACGGGATGTAAACACAAGAAGCAAGCATTCTGCTGTTCACCTCCATTGATTCCATAATTTCCATTTGATCGACTGTCATCGTATATCTCGATCACTTGGAAAACATTGTCGTGCATTGTTGTGAAATTCAGTCTTCGGTGGAGAATGACTTCACTTTTGTACCATGTACGTCAATCGATTGTTCCGGTCCGGGTCGAGGTGTTTGTTATTCCGTGTTGTGCCGCCCAGCTGTGCTTTACGACCTAGGGTCACGTGGCAGCTAGACGCCGATAGGGTGGTAAACCAAATGCAGCCACAACCACAGCATTCAAGCTTATGGACATTAAGTTTACTAGAAACACATCTTCCGTAGACGGATAGTTGATGGCTCGACTTATTTCAATGAACGAGCGCTAAGGAATGACGACTAGCTTCATGGGACAATGATCTTCAATAAATCAATTCAACAGCATAAAAGGGCAATTTTTCATGCTTAGACGAGTGATTAAGGAATATGGTTTTCATGCTCGGCACACACAGATAGCTACGTTAGTTTAGAACAACAAAATCGCCGCAGACGGGCAAGCGTAGTTAGGGGGTGCCACGTGAAAGCCAGTAGTAACTTGGTTTCGAGTGGAGTGTCCGCCGTGGTACAGTCTAGCGTCTACAGTTTGGAAGGACACACTGTCTGATGTGGTGAGGTGAAACTGGGTATTCAACGAAATGATTGAATGAAGCAAACTGCCAGATGTAAGCTCAAATCGCCATATGAAGATGCTCAACAAACACAGTGAACTGCCTACGAACATTCTTTGGAAGATATTGTCCGGAAATCTGTCTTAAATGGAGAAGAAAGGTTAAATTTTTGTTCCTTATGTGTAGATCGTTGTATGCAGCATTGCGTTTTGAGTACAGTCAACAAGTTCTTCTATATATATCGGGAACTTGGACTTCCTTAGAGACCATCAGCTTGATATAGCTAAACCGATATCCACCAGTCGAATGCACCTATGCCTTGGCTAATGTGTTTCTATACGGTAATCAATTAATACAGATTAATACGAAAAAGAGGTCATGTGGACTGTCGCGAGGGTAGGATGTCTTCAGGTAGGTCTTGAATTTGTACCCACCGGAAGAAGGTGTCGCTTACCTTCAGGTAGACTGACCTCGACGAATACACTCATTTGCATACCAGTTTGGTTTGAACGGTAAACTCACCTGCAGGCCAGCCGAATCTCTTCGTTATGATATTCTTCAGCTAGGTTCCAGGATAATCCATTGTGGGAATCAAACTGGTAAGCTAACGGGCATACTTGTCGAATCTCGCGCAATTTGGATTCAGACAGAACGTAAAAATGACGGAAACTCTGGGATTCTCCCTACCTAATCAGCCCTTAGTGAAGGGGCGAAAGCGGTCGTGGGCTGTCGAAGAGTCTTCAGCAGTCTTGTGAGTAGTTTCTATCATGAAATGGAGATGCCCTCTTAAACTGAGGTTTTCTCTCACGAAATTTTACACTGTCCCCTAAATATGTTTTACTTTGAACATCGCAGCTCCAGCACTCACGCTATGCATACAAAACAAGATGGGCGCTGGTATCGTCTATGTAACACTAAAGATCACATGAACAAGGTACGACACATTCACAAGATACGATGCAGACGTAGCAATGGGTTCCGTTCCTCGTAAAATAGCTCTTGGCCTGTAACTGTGACGTCAACCCTTTGCTTGCACCAGAATACTCCGTTTTCGGCGACAAAACAAAGTATCAAAATATTCAAACAAACTGCCCAAAATGTTGATTTTTACTCGGTGTTTCTTTTTGGGGTGGCTGGAACGGATAATGCGCAATCACTGGTGGGCATTTGTTTAGACATGACAGGCAAACGAACGTAAGTTAGGCACACGGAGAACCATTGATACAGTGTTGGTTGGTTGGTTTTCTTGGGGATCACGATGAGAATGATGTCTCGCGCACCTAAAAGCTGTCCCCCCTCGAAGTGTCTGCTTTCGTTTAGTTGATACTGATGTGACGAGTATGACTTACTCATCAGTTACTTGGGCACCAAGCCTCCAGAAAACCAAGTTAGCAAAACGTGAGACTCAAGCGGTCCATTAGATTCAGAATGTACGTTTATTTATGTGAGCCAATAACGAGTGTTTCACGCATAACGTCTACACACACTTTCGACCTAGTTATGTCGACAAGCCTGCAAACGCCATTAACTACGAAGCACTTAGTCTGCAAAGTTACGGTTAAAATGAAGTTAATCAACTTTTCGGATCATCTATAGTCATTAAGAGTCTGCAAAAGACAAGGACTTCGTGAAAAAGCGTGTCCAAAATCGAACAACCATATTTTCAGCTGTAATCTAGTTCTGTTAACTGGGTCAAACAATATCTGCGTGGCATAGAATTCTACTGACCAATCAGACTTGAGAGATTTGACTGGCCAATCTATGGTGAGCCTGCTCAATAGAGCCGATAAGCAGGCCAGTGGCGATGAACCCAAAAGTGTTTTGGAAGCGTATCTGCTGAGTTTGTGCCTGTGGATGCACTCTGAGATTTACTATCTGTGCAGCTTCAAAGATCGAATCTGCGCAAACGAGTGCATATCTGTGTTGTTTCCGTGACGATTTCTCAAGTAAGTTGGTGTTGGGAATAGTTGAACTGTTGAACTGTTGAAATATCAGGTTATCGGTAGCATCTTGGTACACAGGATTGAATTTAAACTTAGAATACTTCTAATAATGGTGCGCTCGTGTTACGCTCTTGTGAGACTACCTGACGGTTTGTTTAAAATCGTGTTCTCAGTGCCACACTGGTTTTAAGAAAGTGTGAAGACAAATCAAAAACTTGAAAATGCACCTTCAACAAGATTTTCGGCAAGAAAAGATTTCGCCAAGGGTTAGAATCCCCATCGTTTTAGTGGTTGGGGTTTATCGATCAGCTTAACAGTATCACGTGATCTTTTCTGGGTCAGGTTGTTCTGTTTATGTCTACGCACAGTCCGGGTGATAAGACACAACCAACCAATTTTCTAAATAAGGAACGCTAGGAGGTGACCAGCAGATGAACATTAACCTTGAAGACCTGAAAACACCTCGGGTGAAAAGGATAAACAGAAGGCAGGGAGTTAAACATAAAAAAACAACAGAAGCCATATGCTTTTGAGTCACGTGGTTTGGATACACCACCTTGCGTTGTTAGTTCGGTGGTGCTAGTCTTTTTGATTTCTCGATGAATTTGTTGTTTTAATAGCCTTAACGCGCATAAGAGGGGGACTGCAAATTTCAGTTACGCTTATTTTTCCAGAATCAGACATTCCACTCAGATGCGAAACGGGGAAATATTTTCAACCTGACAGCGTTTACAGTGAGTGAATTTGATTCACATGCATCAGAAAGCCGTATCTGAAAGCGAGATGATCTCGAGGTGTAAACGGCTTCCTTACTTGGTTAGTGTTAAAAAGTATGACCTTAAAGTGGAAGGAACTAAATCGCGCAACATTAATACGTCCTGCTCAAATTAAGCTAATCGAAACCTTACCATTTAGACTGAATGCAATCCTAAAGGATTGAGGTCACCGTTGTGGCCGAATGTTGCACCATCTAGTTCGTAACTCCTCACTGTCTGATGGACACGATCGCTTACATTTAGTATAGTTTGCCTGCAATTTGTTGGATACCATCAGCTAGTAGATGAAACGTTGTCCTTAATTTCTACACGGCAACCCCCTGAACAGTGGTCACCTTGGTAACAGGCCACTTTTCCGAGGCGAGGTGAAAGGGATGACTTAGAAGACCAAGAAAACGAACTTGTGAGGTGCTTCACAAAGCGACCATACTGGTTCCAGCAGTTAAAGCTTTGTTCGGTAAAATGAATGGCACAAAAGGGAGGTTTTTGAATTACTCAGCACCTATGAGATGTCAAAACAGATGCTAAGTTTTTCGAGCACTGTAAACCTATTATTAGTATGGAAAAATTATTATATATTTTGCGTTCAAACGCATGTTGACGGACCGGCTTACAGTGGAATGTGTGTACGTAACGACTCTGATCATTGATTTTCGAAATAAATTTGGGCTTGATTCAGTATGTGGTTTGAGCATAATCAGCTTTTAGGAGTTGGTGCACAATTCTTCAATGATTCAGCTTTTACGCTCCCTCACAAAAAACCGGATAGCTTCAAATTACTTGGCGCATCAGACCCATGCAAAGTTAAGGTTTCCTGAACAAATATGACACTTCCGTGAGTGTAACTATCAGCAACTATCGGCTTTCCCTGTACCAAATCGGCTTTTGTTGGTTGCATGAACCACAGACAGAAGGCAGATAAAACCGCGAGAGTACACACGCCTCTGCGATTAGAAAAGTTAGTCAAACGGCCAATCTCACCACTCGTAGATTTATTTATTTCGACGGGAAAGACACGTCTGAACAAAAACGCACGAGGTCTTTGATCGATTTTTTGGGTGTGGAATGACAGTATGACCTCAATAGGTGGTAAGGAATGTACTGCGCGTCTCATGGCAGGCCAGGGTCAAAAAACTTTCTAATGTATTTTCATAGTTATTTGGGTAAATTTTAGCTCTCTAACCAAGTCAAAGCTATGTGGATGTTGTCAGCGAAAGATGGCTGTTTTCAGGCAGCCAAGGTGTCAAATGCAAGAAACTTGGATGACCTACACCTGTTTTCGAGCTATTTGGTGGCCATTGAAACCGCAACTAAGTGTCTTAAAGAGTGTACGTGAGTACTGGCCACGTGGGACTGAGTTTCCCCACGTTCGAAACCTGGAAACAGTGGAAATGCAAGAGCAGTTTGCATCACACAAAACACGAGACCTAATAGAATCAGTAATCTATGACATAAAAGTTGAACACTTTATCATTCACTTAGGCTGTAGCTGTTACCAACTGTCACCTAATTGTTCGGTTACACAATCCAAAGAATGTCTACCGCATGAGGATTTCTCAGACAACCCGGAATAGTAAATCTGCCTTTATTTGAGACCACGAACAAATCGCATCCAGACTATTCCAGGCTCAAACGTGGTCACTCGCTTAGACGTGGTCAACTCGGTTCGCGAAACACTACTGTTACCACCGGTGTTTCACCAATCAGATGTTCGGAATTTCAATCTAAAAGAAGCCAAAGAAACGCAAGTCCAGTGCATTCTGTTCTTCGTGCGTATGGATCAGAACAATCCGGCCGGGTTCAACTGAGTAGGATGCACATTTAAAGTTCTCAGGAATGATAAAAACACCAGGTTCTTAGTTGTATTGGTGCTCAGGGTTGTAGGCGTAAAATTCATGCTTCCACAGGGGCCGGGATAATGCAGGGTGCCAACATATGGACAGGAGGACAACTGAGGTTCCTAGGCAAATTCGTTAGCTTAAAGGCCTAACCATAAGCCAGCGCCGGTTGACTGGAGACTATCAAAGCAGATCGCCACATATAGTCCAACTCCCAAATCTTTTAAAAGTTGAGTAGTTCATTGCGGATGTCTAATCAAAGAGCTATTCTCGTTCCTTGTAATAACGCCATCAGAACAGAGAACCAGGTCTCAGATCAAGGTAGCTTACAGAGGAATACAGGCGGTTCTGGTTGATTTTTCCAAGTGATGTTGAGAAAAGTCGTATTACAAAATCACAAGTTTCTCAGTGCATGCGACCATAAAAACCGGCTTCAGAACGAAGTGTTTTTGGTATCAGAGGAAGCGGGTATCATTACTCTTGCATTAAAGATTTCATTCAACAAACGTAACACACTGATCACAGAGTTGCTGCGACCTCTCTTCGATAGCACACAACTGGTTTCGCTTTTTTCAGATCCTATCAGGTAGACACAACCTCCGAGGTTCCGCCAACCTCATGTCCTAAATGAACCTAAATTGGACGTGATTCTTGAAGCACACCTACTGGCAAATTTGATCTGGTTTTACTGGGATACCCAACTGAAACCCAGGTGATTCTCGTGTGTGATCTTCCTTGACTGACTGTGCTTCACAAAAACCTCTTTATGTTTCCGTGACGGCAGGGCACTATGATTTGGTTTAATTTTTAAGATGGATGCAGGCTACATAGCAGCAGCTGAAATGAAACAGAGGCAGTCTTTTCTAACTTGACATTCACGTGCTCATTTGGACACTTAAATCTGAAGCCACGGCTAAGCTGGGTGATTGATACGAATCGGTTTACAGTGGAGTAGGCGCCTCGGATAGAACTACGGAACTAAAACGTTTACCTGATACGGAACTACGGTCTCAAACGGACATGCAGCTTTGTGAAAAAGCGCTGAATTTAATCTCACGGCGTACTTTACCGGAAAAGATAGCACTGCACCATGTGACCAGCCTACTGATAAGGAAACACGCAGAATGTACTTGATGCGAGGCAGGAGATGCAGCAGTTTCATCAACTAATTAGCCAGTATGTCGGTCAGTTGCAAAGTGACGGAGTTTCACGAGGAAATCACTTACATATCGCCCCATTCTTGCTTGCAAGTTCAAGTAATCAGGATGATGTTAACTGCAACAATTGGATTGATTCTGTGTGATGGAATGCAGAAGCTTGCATACACTGAAATACACAAAGGTCCGCTTTACAGTCTGGAAAGGGCACATATTCCACCATAAAGATTTTCACCACTCCTGTTTTTTTTTCTCGACGAAATACTTCGCCGACGAATCGGCAGATTGACGTTACCTTGAAGGCAACGCCCGAACGGCAGGAGGTTAGAAATAACGAGACAATCAGATGACCAAGAGGAGGATACAGATATTGCTGACTGCCCAGTCAGTGGGATGGAATCGATCAACTCGTTTGACCATCTGTCTAGGCTTGCTTCAAAAGTGCTGTGCTGCATAGAAAGACACCATCTAACGTTACTTTCCAATACCTGTCTATACCGGTTGTCCAACTTATCAGCAGTACGACATTCTGTACATTCGTTACTTTCGCTGATTAGATTTTTAGGCTTTAAATTAAACAAATGTTTTCTTTGTACCACTTGGTATGTTGTAGTTGCTCCTGATCACATGAATTTAAAGTTAGCCATGCTTATAACTGTAGGATTTTGCGAAGGAATATGCCTCATTAGCGAATATACACTCATTTGCAAATTAATTTGGTTTTTCGACAGACTCACCTGGAACCCATCTGAATCTCTCGTTTGTGATGTTTCAAGGTAACTGAATGTGCTGCACTCGGTGTGTATTTCGCTAATTTCGTGCAATTTGGTTTCAAGTAGAACATAAGGTTCACGGAAACCCGGGGACTGCGCCTACCTGATGAACCTCAAGAAGGGCGGGACCGGTCGTGGGCTGTCGACGAATTTTCAGCAACCTTATGAGTAGTACAATACGAATATACCTTATGCTATTTTGAGTGGAACACTGTGCTTTGATAAAATGCCTCGTGAAGCATCCAAAATTGTAGTTTTTCGGTCCTTTAGAAAGATCTGATCACAACGTCAACAATTGAATACATGTCGGCCAACTGGCATAACTCAGACGGGAGATCATCGGGAGAATGCAAGTGCAATCAATCATTTCCGGTGCTATCCGTCCTGTCCTGGGGAAGAGGCACAGCTTTCCCGAACTTCAGCACGCTACCATAGAATTACATGAAAACTATCTTCAGG